AAAAGCACATGGCTTCTCAGGGCCGTTACGTAAAGCTTCAGAAGCGAAGATGCGGCTCAAGAGAACACACTTCTCACTTTTTAGCCCAGCTGTGCTTGTCCGTCGAAGGTCTGGCCGACACCCAGCCCGACACCGTCAGGCAGTGCTGTTTGCCTAATTCCTCCGAAGGCAAAGACTCCCGACTGCTAACTTACTAGCTGGCTCTCACTCCAGTGAGGATACTGAGAACTCTGAAGTGAAAGAGGCTGCGTCAGGTGAGGTACGGCAGGGTGGGCTGGCACGACAGAGCGCACCAAAGGTGGCGGAGCAGTGCCCGGCGAGAGGGGGTGTGAGGAGGTGGCACCGGATTTTTCCTTCTCTTTCACGTCAATTGGATCAACCTGTCAGTTTCTGTGGCGTCTCAAACGGAACTAAATCTTCCTTTTCAGGAGTCAGGCATGGATCAAATAAGGATTCTTTGGAAAATAAAGGCAAAGATCACAAACTCCTAACCCAAGGCAGACCCGGCCCACAGGTTTCACTTAACCCACAGTGGTAGTACTTAAAATTTTTCTGTATTCCTTACCAACAATTACAAACAGGAAGAATTCGAGTGATAGAGGGCATTAATGGCCTCTGCTTCATTCATTCCTCCCTGTATCCAGGCACCGGGTGACTCCACGTGAACTCCAGACTTGGCCATATGGCTTGCTCTGGCCAACGTGACAACAACAAGGATGACCTGGCCAGAGACTTTGAAAGCACTTGGGCATTACAACGTGCCCTCCTCTTGCTCTAAGACCTCTGAGAAGGCCCACCCAGGGCTCACCTGTTGGATGATGAGACCTATAACGAATGCACACGTACTCAACAACTAACCAGCCCCCCAAAGCGAAGCTACCTGGCTAACCAGCAGCTAACCTTAGACATCTGAGTGAACCCACCGATGCCCGGCCCAAATTGCCACTTTGCAAAATGGTGAGCTAAATACTGGTGTGTGTTTTGGGGTTTTTTTTTTTTTAATGCTCTGTAATTTTTTTAAATTTTTATTTATTTTTGAGAGAGAGAGAGGAAGCAGGGGAGGAGCAGAGAGAGAGAGAGAGAGAGAGAGAGAGAGAGAATTCTCTCACTGTTAGCACAGAGCCCGATACGGGGCTCGCTCTCACAAACCGTGAGTCCATGACCTGAGTCAAAATCAAGAGTTGCACACTCAACCCACTGAGCCACCCAGGTGCCCCAAGCTAAACACCGGTGTTTTAGGCCAAAGTCTTGGGTGTTTGTTGTGTTGCAAAAATGGACAGAGTCCACATAAAAATAAACATTCCCAATTACAAAAGTCTGAAGGCGGCCACACTGGGACCACATTCCCACAAGGAAACAACCAGTTGACATGGGCAGTGGCTCCCACCTTTAGCCCAGCTACAGTGTGTATTCCCCAAATTGTCGCTTTCTCATCCCCATCACGTGGAGGTCAAGTTCAGTTGCCATACATTATCTCAGTTAGATGCGGTTATATTTATGGCAAAGAAAAAAGTGAAATACCATAATCTACACACTTATTATCAGGTAGGAAAACCACTGTAACTACCTTGGAAAATTGTTTGCCAGTGGCTACTAAGGCTGAACATCTGCATACCTATGACCCAGCAATTCCACGATTAGGTGTGTACCCAAGAAAAATGGGTACACACATTCCAAAAGATATGCAAAGCATTCACAGCACTACTCCCAACAGCCCCAAACTGGCTGTTGAACTACTTATCAAGAATGCCCATCAACAGAATAAAACAGGACATGTTCATAGGGATGAATCTCACACATGATGCTACGTGCTAGAACCAGACACAGGAGATGTAGGATTCTACTTACAGTTCAAAAACAGACAAAATTAAAATAAAGTGTTAGAAGTCAGGTGAGAGTGAAAGAAGAGAACACGTTGGGGGTTCTGACGAGCTGATAATGCTGTTCTGAAATCTGGGTGCTGTTTACATGGATGTGTACGCCCGTGATAACTCACCAACTTGTACATTTATGATTTTATGCAGGGTTTGGTTTAAAGAAAAAAACATTTAATGATTTAGAGAGAGAGCACGTATGATGGAGGGGAGGGGCAGAGAGAGAAAGTGGAGAGAGAGGATCCCAAGCAGGCTCCGCACTGTCAGCACAGAGCACGATGCTGGGCACAACCTCACGGCTATGATGAGTCAGTCGTGAGATTGAGATATCAAATGCTGAACCAACTGAGTTACCTAGGCGCCCCTGAGAAAACTTTCAAAAGAAGAAAAACAAGAACAAGACGAGGACAAGGCTTTGAAAAAAATTTAAGTATTTTTTAGGGATATCATGAAAGTCATTTCTACACGGTCATGTTTAATATTTAATGTGACAAAAAGAATGATAGCCATCATGGGATGTCTGGCTGGTTCAGTTGGTGGAACATGTGACTCTTGGTCTTAGGGTTGTGAGTTTGAGCCCCAAGTTGGGTATACAGAGTAGATAAATTAAAGAAAAAGAAAAAAAAAAGCTAGCCATCATGAATCGAAGCATTATAGGTGTATGACTGGAACCTCGAAAAGATACCTAACAAGACACCCGATGAACTAGGAAAAAGGGTGGAATGAGCCATACCTAGGCTACCTCACTCCTTTGCATTATCTGCTTGACTTCTGGTCTTTGGGGCTTACAACTACTGATCTAGGAATCGAAGCCTTTTCTATAAAGGTTACCATCATTTCTCACATTAAGATAGAGTGGGTTGACTGCCCCTGAAAATCAATTACTTTCTTAATGCTCATCTGTCAAATGGGGCTAATAATAGCCACGGAAGAGGGTTGTTGGGAGAACTGAAGGTCTTTAAACCCTTAAAGCAGTACCAAGGAGAAAGCGAGTAATTTTATTTATAGTATTTTAAAGTACTTAAAAAAAAAAAAAAAAAAGCGCCCTGAAGGTTGCATGTTCGTAGGATGTAGAGCCCAGCAGTACCTGATGTGGGGATTTTGGCAACAGAGGAGATCATGGGCATGCATTCCAGGGCAGGCTTTTTTTTTTTTTTTTAAATAAACTCTGATGCCAGTACGCCCCTGGGATCCTACAGTAGGCAAGCCCCCTCCATTTCTAGAACACTTCATTTAGGGCTCCACTATTTTTGGTATCAATGCCTATCCCTCAGAAGTATTAGGGCTAGAAAGCCTTTAAGAGTCAAGACAGTAAACCAAAAGAAACTGTGCAGCAGAGAACAAGGTCTCAAAATTGCCTGACCATCTCAAACATCACATTTCTAGAAGCCTCCTCTGGATATTGATTAGGCAGGTCTAGGTACAGACCAGAACCTGTCTTTTAATAAAGCAAAGGGGATTCCTACATTCAGTCAGGTTTGCAAAACTCCTAGCTGGTGAAATTTAGAGTCCAAGAGACCTGGATCCAAATTTAATCCCCAGAACTTATCATCTAGGTATCCCTGGAACAGTTACACAAACCGTTTTTGAACATCCTCATTCATAAAAGGAGACTAACAACAGGTACTTCCCAGGATTCTTATGAAGCCTGAAGGCACTGCCACATTCAGTAGGTTGGATTTTAACTGGCAGGCCCCCAACCGTGCCTCGGTCCTAACAATCCACTTTCCTGTTTCTCTCTACCTCCATGAGCTGGTCTTGCCTTAGTCTACAAATCTATTTCCCAGGGAATAACTTCTGCATAGATTGGACTGGCCTGACCAACTTACCCTTATCTGGTGCTAAACCACCCTACCAAGGCATTCAAAGATTATTTTTACATCTGCCAGACTTCCTTAGTGATGACCCACTTCTTTTTTTTTTTTTAATTTTTTTTTCAACGTTTATTTATTTTTTGGGGGACAGAGAGAGACAGAACATGAACGGGGGAGGGGCAGAGAGAGAGGGAGACACAGAATCGGAAACAGGCTCCAGGCTCCGAGCCATCAGCCCAGAGCCCGACGCGGGGCTCGAACTCACGGACCGCGAGATCGTGACCTGGCTGAAGTCGGACGCTCAACCGACTGCGCCACCCAGGCACCCCGATGACCCACTTCTTATAGAAGCAGAAGTGACGCCAGCAAGAATTTTCATATATACGACAATTGTTCACATTAAAGGAGAGCTTGTAACTCACATAACACACACACACACACACACACACACACAGCTTCTCTCAACTTAGAGACAGGCAGAGCACAGGACCAGAAACTTGGTGAAAACCCCAATAGCTATTAATGTTATTTGAACAGAACTGTTAAATAAACCATTTTTTCTCAAAACAGCTTTTGCCAATTACACAATTACTCTAAACTGGGAGGCTGTAGAAGGCTTAAGCCTAATTTAAGTTGAACCACTAAAACCTGTTGTATTGCCGTAACCCTTAACCATGGATGTGTTTCAGGTGGTCCTGACCATGCCAACTTCGTAAAGGGGGCCTTCTTTAGGGGAGAGAGGGTCCCCAGCTTCTCTGCAGAGCCCCCGAAAGGATCCACGTGCACAAAGCGAGAAAGAACCTCCATGCCAATGGTAGTGCCGAAAGGATTTTTCCTTTCCTGCTTTATGAATACGTGTGCAATTGGGAAAAAATGAATAATACGAATATTCTACAGAATAAAAACAATTGCTTCCTAACCGTCCTGAGACCTCTTGCCTCCCTAAAGGCAACCCTTGTTAAGTTACAGGAGTTCTTGAAGAGCAGGAGTTCGCCAGCTGATACTGACACTGTGGGCTGGATCGTTTTCTTCTGGGCGCTGTCTATACACGGCAGGATGTTCGGGAGTATCCCTGACTTCTACCCATTAGATTTACGATAGCAACGCCCCCAACCCAGTAGTGGTATCCAAAAAAGGTCTGCAGACACTGCTACCAAGATGGGAAAACAAGGTCACCCAGGGTGGAAACTACCACTTCCAGAGATACTCTATGCATGCACAGACCCCGGCTGGCACAGTTACTTTCCATTTCGTTGCAGGGGTGTGTGGCCGGGGCAGGCCCGGACCTCGGCAGGAGGCTGAAGCCACTCACCAGGTCTCGGATGAGCTGGTCCACCAGCTGCTCCCCGCCCCCCGCGGCCTCGCGGGCCGGAGGGGAGCGGGAGCGGCTCGCCGCGTCCTGCCTCTCGGCCCGGGTCGCCCGCGGAGCCGGGGGCCGCCCCGCGCCCTCCAGGAGGCCCTGGGCCAGCGCCAGGTACCCCGAGGCCTGCTCGCCGCGCCCCAGAGCCACTTCGGGCCGCCGCGGCCGCCGCTCTGCAGTCTCGGGCCGCCGCCGCTTCCTGAGCGCCTGGGCCTGCGCCAGCTCCTCCTGCCAGCGCCGGCGGAACTCGTCCAGGCTGTGATCGTCCATCGCCGCCGCCGCCGCCGCTCCCCACCCTCCGCGTCGCTCTCGGCCCGCCGGCTGCCACGGGACAGTCCCTCCGCGGGAAGTGTCCGCCGCGGCCGGAAACCCGCGCCGCCGCCGCACCCGAGTTCCGGGTGGGTGGCCCCGCCCCCGGCGCGTCCCTCGAAAGGTCCCCGGCGGAGGTGGCTCGCGCTGCCCCAGGCCGAGCCCAGAGGCGGGACCCGAGCGCCCAGCCTCTCCGCTTCCCGCCTGGCGCCTTTGTCAAGCACGGACTTGACCCCAAGCACCGTTTCTTCATTCATCGAACATCCAATTGAGCAACTACTAGATGCCAGGAGCTGAGGATTCGGCATTTAAATCCTAAAACCCCGCAATATCCCTCCCCTCTTGGGGTTTCAAGTTGGGGGGGGGGGGTAAGAGGGGGGAGGAGACTTTCCACAAATGAACAGGAAGGTTTGAATCAGTGGTAACTGTTAAGGAAATAAAGGAAAAATGAGGCACAGGGTGGGGATGGGGGCGGTTGACTTTACAGGGATGTTCAGGGAGGGCATCTCAGAGATGTCATCTGCACTAAGAGCTAAATGAGAAGAGAAACCAGCCCTGGGAAGATCTAAGAGACATTTCCAGAAGGAACTACAAGGGAGGTAGGAAAGGAAGGCACATACAATCGCATTCCATCTTCCAAATGCTTTGTAACTGCTGTTTCCTTCTCCGGGAATTCGCTTCCCCCTTGACCTAGTTAAGGCCTATACATCTTTCATAGCTCAGCTCCCACCTGACTTAAACTCCTTCCCCCTCCACCCAAAATGGGGTCACCTGGTTATTCATTCCTATAGCATCCCATACTTCTCATAACACAGAGCAGTTTGTAATTTTGTATTTGTGTAATTTTTTTTTTTTTTTTTAGTTTATATATTTATTTTGAGAGAGAACGAGAGCACGCACACTCACGCACGGTGGGGGGGGGCGGCCGGCCGGGGACAAGGCGAGAGGGCGAGAAGCTCATGCAGGCTCCCAGCTGTCAGCGCTTAGAGCCGGAGGCGGGGCACCATCCCACTAACCCTGAGATGAGGACCTGAGCAGAAATCAAGTGGGCACCCGACCCACTGAGCCACCCAGGCGCCCCTGTGTAATTATAATATCTCCCTTTCCTACTGGACTGCCCATTCTTAGCTTGGAGTCTGGAGATTAGTAGGCATTCAATGAATATTTACTAACAACCCCTTTGGATGAGAACTATTGGCCTGGCTCTACAGGTGAAGAAACAGAGCCAAAAAAGAAAAAAAGAAAAAAATCACACAGCTGGTGATGTGCAGACCAAGGATTCTGATTATACATATTAAAAATATGTATAATATATGTACATATACATACATATGTATGTATATAGGTATTTTAACTCCAGACCTGACCTCTTTAAATCATAAGCCAGCTAGGAACCATTGGCTACTTTCATTACCATGATTTTTCAATGCAGGGAAATTAACAGCATGGTTATCAACAGCCTGAGCTCCAGAATCAGACAGACATCTAGGTGGGAATCCCAGCACCTCATTTACTCACATCTGCTTTCTTGCAGCAACTTCATTTCTACGAGTTTATCCTAAGAGAAGAAAATGGAGGATGAATTCAAAGAATACCTTCAAGGATGTACACCGAAGCATTGTTTTCTAATACTGAAAATCAGAAGCAATCGAAGTAACTGACAATAGGCCATTGGTTAAATAAATTTTGCCCCATTAGGATGTAAGAAAGATCCTAACTAGAGTGTCAGCTCCGCGAGAGCAGAGATCTTCGTTCACTGCTAGGTCTTCAGCACTCAAAACCATGCCTGGGACATAGTAGCTGCTCTATAAATAATGCATCAATGAAATACTGTGCAGCTATTAAATATCACATGGAGAAAATTTAATCACCTGAAAATATAACCTAGCAAGTGAAAGAAAGCCAGGACAAACATAATACAGTATGATCCCAGTACTACTTACTAAGTGTAGGTGCATTTCGGGCACCTGGGTGGTTCAATCCGTTAAGCATCCTACTTCACCCCAGGTCATGATCTCACAGTTCATCGGTTCGAGCCCCACCTCTGGCCCTGTGCTGACAGCTCAGGGCCTGGAGCCTGAGTCAGATTCTGTGTCTCCCTCTCTATTTCTCTCTGCCTCTCCCCTGCTCACACTGTCTCTCTCTGAAAAATAAACATTAAAAAAAAAATTAAAGTGTGTATGCTTTTAAGAATATATACTCAAAACAGAAGAGCTCTCTAAAGGGCAGGATTATGGGTTAGTGTTTTTATCTGTATATTCTAACTTCCTACAGTGAAGGTTAGCCTAGCCTGGATCCCCCTAGAAAACAGAGCCTGAGACCTGGGCTTGCAGGCAGCTAGTTGTTTGCTGAAGTGCTTCTGGAAAATAGGAGTGGGGTACCAAGAAAGGAGTAAACAGGAAGGAGGGACAGCTAATCCAAAGACCATCTTGAATTGGTCCTGCTGTGCACAACTTACACTCCATCCCGCTGAGAGCATCCAAGCAGCCTTTTGAAGACGACCCCTCTGGATGGTCTTCCCAAGAGATCAGAAATGCAAGAAGGGAGACTAGATTCACTCAGCCATCCTCTATTAGAGGAACGGTAAGGAAAGAGTTTTTCGTAGTCTCCTGCTTCCAATGGAAGGGGAGTTTAAGAAAATGGGTTGTTACCAATGTCCCACACCAGGGGAGCAGAGATGCTCTCGGGCAAAAAGCAAGAACTACCCTATGCAGCAAACAGGAGGGACTGTCCAGTGACCCGTGCACAAAGCCTATTACTAAGCAATGACGAAGCAGAAGGTGAGTCAAGAGGATGTGATGTGGGGCATATGAGTCCAGTGAGGATTCTTTTTGTAATAAAAACAAGGAGCTGTTTTCTTCAGAAACCTTAGCTTACGTCCTGCCTCATACTATTTTCCATATGAAATTCCAAGGGTCAAGTTTGTTTTGATTACCTGTTTGTGAGTCAAAACCCACATACGGCTTTTCTGATAGCTCTGGAGTTTACAGAACATCTAATATTTAAGACAAAACAATTTTAAAACACCTAATAATGATGTTTAAAAAAATCATGGTTTCCTCTTGCCTTTTTAAAAGAATTTTTACAGGGTCGATGCAGGCAGGCTAATGGGGCCATTGGTCACCCAGAGAAAGGGGGGGGGGGGGGAGAAAATCTGCCCAAAAGAAAGGAAGATACCGTGCTCCATTCAGCATGGCCAAATTCACTGACAATATGTATGTTGATTCTGTTTTTCTTTTCAACAGTAAATTCCTGGGCCTCTCATTTCCTCAAATGAAAAATAAAAATATATTCCGTTCAGGGGCGCCTGGGTGGCGCAGTCGGTTAAGCGTCCGACTTCAGCCAGGTCACGATCTCGCGGTCCGTGAGTTCGAGCCCCGCGTCAGGCTCTGGGCTGATGGCTCGGAGCCTGGAGCCTGTTTCCGATTCTGTGTCTGCCTCTCTCTCTGCCCCTCCCCCGTTCATGCTCTGTCTCTCTCTGTCCCCAAAATAAATAAACGTTGAAAAAAAATTTAAAAAAAATATATATATATTCCGTTCAGAGTGACTGAAAGGTTGATAGTGGTTTATAGGACTCCTGGTGCCCGTAAGGCACACAGTAGACATTGAGTAAAGGCTGGCTACAATCCATATTATTAAGTCTTGGCCAATAGAGATTACATCCAACCTACTCTCTACAGGTCTGGTGTTCCGTGTGACCCACCTTTTTCTAGACCTAGTGTTCCTTGCAAGTTCAGTCCATTAAAATTCCTTGGTTGCAAGTCTCACTAGCTTAAGCAAAAAGCAAGGGCGCTCAGGATGGCTCACAAAGTTAAAACAAACAAACAAAAAAAATAATCATATCCTCAGAATACCCAGAATCAGATCAGATTCAGGAGTTTCATTAGAGGAAGCCACGAACCACCGGTTTTGGATGATCTCACCACCTGTCTTCTGTCTTCTAAGACTCAAATCCTGAGAGCAATGGTTCTCAGTGTGGTCCCTCAACCCAGCATCACCTGGGAACTCGTAAGGAATGCAAATTCTCAGCCTGGAATCACTGAGTCAGAAACTCTGCGGGTGCAACCCCAACAATGCATGTTTTCACAATCCCTCTCAGTACCTTCCAGAGAACCAGTATTCGTCAGAATGGCCTGGTTCCTGGCCCTTGAAGAGTTGGGGGTCGCAACCGCTCACTTTCCAGGACTCTCTGAAATGAGGAGGCGATACGGGGCCAAGCTAAAAATCGCCCAGACTATCACGGAAGGGAGACTTTAGGAATCCAGTCTCCATGCCTCTCATGCCATCAGAGTCTTTTACTGCCCACTGTCGATGTGCTGTGTGTCCCCCTCGAAACCCAAGCTCAGGTCTGCCAGAGCCACAGAAAGATGGCGGGGAAAATGGCCACCATCTTTCCCCCAAGCACGTCCTGTCTCATTTGGCCTCCTCAGGCCCGTCCCACACTGGACTACCAAGATGAAGTTCCAGAGGCCAGAGTCCAAAAGCAGTTTCACAGCGCTGAAACCAAGGTATGGGCAGGACCATGCCTCCTCCATTGGAAATTCTGTTTCATTGCTCTTCCCAGCTTCCAGAGCTGCATTCCTGGGCTTGTGGTTCCTGCCTCCACCTTCAAAAGCCAGCAGCATAGCATTTTTGCTTCAGCCGGTATCTACCTTCTGTCTCTGGGTTCAGGTCACCCTCTGCCTCCCTCTTATAAGGATACTTGTGATCACAGAAGGCATATCTGGATAATCCAGGACCCTCTTCTGCTCAAGAGCCTTACTTTGGACACATCTGCAAAATCTTTTTTGCCGTCCAAGATAACATTCACAGGTTCCAGGGATTAGGACCTGGCTGTCTTTGGGGGCTATCATTCAGCCTACTGCAGAAAGCCTTCAGTGACCACAGACCCAAATGCCTACAGATGACTCCAGGAAACAGAAATGAGGCAGGTGAGCCAGGTGTAGACTGTCCCAAGCTAGAGTGTGGATGCCCATCTAGACAGCGCTCTGTTCCACCCACCTGCTGGATCTTAGTCCGGATCATCTGACAATGACTATCTT